TTAATTTGATGGCCTGTCAAGACGACAATCATTGTTTTTCGGTTGTTTTAGATAAGTTATGACCTGTCGGGACGACAGTCACGAAAGAACTTTCTTATATTTGTGTACATAGAAATGGCCTGTCGGGACGACAGTCACGGAAGAATTTTTTGTATTTGTGTTGTACATAACACTCGTTTAATCTTGACTAGCATGTTAATCAAAAGGGAACTAGAGGTTTTTTCCAGATAGAATTGTCTGATTTTTTCATCCCACCCTTTACGATAGATAGTGGCATTAGAAGATCATTAGGTCTTATCCTATTCTATCAATACTTTTGAATTTTGCGTTATGAGGAAAGCTGAAGGGACAGAATATCCATAGCTGTATTTCGTAGTTTTAGTAAAACCTTTCGATGTGAGACAAAAATTTTTTTAAAAGATTCAATTTATCTATAACCCTTTTTATGAATAATCGAACTCTACAAGTATCGAAGAAGTTATTTAAAAAAATTTTGAACAGATAAATTAGATTTTTTTTTTTGTGACCTTAATGATGTAAAAATAATATTAAAGCAATTTTAATGAGCTTTAAGGTTTTATTTTTGAATATAAAGACGGTATGAAACTTTAATGAACATATTTTGCTTTTTTATAAACGTTAAAGTATAAAATTAACTAAAGTTTTTTAGCGAACTTGAATTATAATAAGTTTGATATTTACATTAAAGTCGACCTAAGTTATTTTTTAATTGGTGAAAATTTAAAGAATGCTCGGTCTATTAATAATAGTTGACAAGAAATGAGAAAAATACAAATTTTATGTTGGTTTTTTTTTTTTAATTACTTAAAAATTGCGAAAGTATCTATGTATGTTACATTATAAAAACTCTGATATTATCACTTAAGTATTAAATTGAAAACTATTATATCGGGTGGGTGAAAAGTTCCTGGACAGAGAAATTTTACTATCTCCGCTAGTATTAAAAATTTTTTATAATCTACTTTATTATACCAATCATATTGCAAATATACTGTATATAGATTTATAAAAACTTTTAATATTAGCGGAAATAGTAAAAAAGGCTGCTGTCCAGGGCACCTAATATTAATGCTGAAATACTTGATATAGTCTCGACATCATTAATAGTCGTTCATATAACATACCTACAAGTATGATCCTTTTTATATTAATAAGGTAGCCGTCGCGCTAAAACCAGGAGCGTAGATTTTGATTTTAACGACTTATCAAGTGGTATGATAAAAAAATACCCCACTACTATTGATGTTAATTTAGCATACAAATTTATTTCTAATGTAATTGTAACCTTTTGTCATTACAAATTTCTCATTATATTACCGTATTTTGCCGGGTCTTTTGTAAGTTTTTGTCGGGTATTTTGTATTAGACTCCGGCTCTTTTGATTAGTGCATTACGGTATACAAATTTTTTTGCTTTATCATTATTATATTGTAAAAAATAACTACCTTTTATTTATTAGAATTAGATATTCTATTCAGTTTAAGAATTCTATATAACTTTAAATAAAGTAATCAAAATTTAATAAAATTTGTGTTCAGTTCGGTTCAAGTCAGAGTTCAATTGAATCTGAACCGAACCGAACTCGAACATCGGACTACTACATATTATGTGTCTGTACATTTTTTATTATTTAAAATTTTTTTTCTTTCACGTAATAAGCTACCTTACCTATCTTAATGACAAGCTCGATTGATCGATTAAGAATACTTTCCGTTAATTAACCCGACATTTTTTCGACATACTTTGACCTATGCTTGAGAACGGCCCATGTTTTAAAGATCCAATATAATTTTTGTAGTGATTGTCTTGGATGTAGTGCAATTCAGATAATTTGTAATTTTTTGTTATATTTCTTGTTAATAATAAAAGTTTTACGCACGTCTTACAAGAAAAAAAATGGTGATAATGCATTAAAATATTAAGAAAACCTTTTGTTATGCAAAGTAAAAATAAAGTATTCAATTTAGAACGATGAATTGTATTTTTATGATTGAAATTTCTTTTATTTCATGATTTTTTGGATTTTAAATTCCTCTTTGGTTATGTTTTTACGTGGAATCATGTTCCGAAATTTTAAATGATTTTATAAGTTTTTTTTAAATTATAATAGAAATAAAAAATTAAAATTAAACGAAAACAAAATAATATGCCAAATTATCTGAAAAAGATAAATATCTTTTTTAATCCTTTGTAAGTCGGACAGCAAATTACTAGTTATATAATTCGTAATAATGGTTATAATGGTTATAATGGTTATAAAGTGAGTACTGTATTTTTGAATAGTGATATTTTATAATTAGGTTTATTTTTTTATTTAATAATACAGATTAGCTCTGAACGATCATGTAAGTAATCCTTGTTTTTTTGCAAAATGCAATAAGAGTGACATTAGAAAGTACAGCATAAAATATAGAAATCCATATGTGCATACTGTATTATATATACTGTATTGTAAGCGGAAAAAAGAAAAAACTTGATTTTATCGTATCGTACAGTACACATGTATGTCGTAGAAGAAAATTTAAGCGAAGAAAGTTTTTCTATAACTGCTCTTCTTACCTTAAAAAAAAAAAAAAAAAAATTATAGCGCATATCCTAATCCTAAACATCAAAAAGGATTCACTTGTAAAATCAAATGTAAGAATCTTATTAATCATGCATAATAACAAAATTACTCGCATTCGGTTACGTAATAATTTATATCATTAATTCACGCAAATTCTTAAATTTATAAAGTTTTAACATTCATTTTGATGAGAACATCAACGTCAATATTTTTTTTCAAGTTATTTCATTTGTTCTTTAATATCACCTTAACATAAAATTTTATTTTTGTAAGCATAGATAGCGCGTTAAATCGTCAAATCAAGTTCAGCTTTCATTTGTCAATTCGTATTATTATATTTTATTTATTTAATCCAAAAATTCATTACTTCAAATAATTTCAATACAATCCCCCGCATACGTATTTCTCAAAAAAAAAAAACTTTTCGCTAAATACTACAACTTTTCTCAATTGGTAAAATAATATTTAATGTACAGATGTAAGATCAGATGTTCTTTCTCAAGCATCTCAATCAATTGATTAAATAATAATCTTGATGATGCAGAAGTATCACAATTAATGACGATATTTATAGAATTAGATGCTTGAACATGCTCTTTCTATTTTTCGTAATTTTTGCTATGCCACCTAAAAACCTAATAAAAAAAAAAATTTCTTCTCGACCAACTGCCGAAGCTTCAACTTTAGCTTCCTTTTGATGATTTTGTCAATTTAAAAAAAATTTATTATAACTTCATTATTCATCAATTATGAAAACCATCTATCTAAAATCCTTCCGTTTTGTTTACTGAGAAGCCTTTAAATTTAAATTAGTGAAAAAACGGAATAGCAGTATTCATTATAGTTTGGTTTAATCGTTAAAATATGGACTGTATTTATTACGTGTATTAATTATTTGTTTTAAAAACTTCTAGCATTAAAAATAAAATACTGTAGTAATTTTTTTGGATCGGTAGAAATCTAAAAGTAATGCTTGAGCGACCTTTATCAATGGTAAATTTTTGAAGAAAAAGGGTGGGTTGTGTCTCGCTGATTTGTTCATCGAAATGGTAACTCACTTGGTTATTATTCAATTTCCGACTAATCAAAAATTTACTTCCGATCCGTTGAGTGGGTGCTTGAAACTGTTCTCAAAGCATTCAGTGTAATTGACTAGTAACTAAGATGACGCTCAAACGTTACAATCAATTGATAAGGGCGATTAAACTTTTAGCACCAAAAGTTTGGCATCTTAAATTTTGATTCATAAAACTTTCCTTCTCTTAACTATTTTAAGGTAACATAGTGGTGACGGAAAAAATTCACGATCAGGTGATTTCTGTTCGTTCTGAACCTCGTAATACAGCAAGAATATAATATCAACATACGTAGTACTGTATTATTAATGTAAGTTTATTGATCATTGATTGGGTCAAAATCATCTGATCGCGATTTTTTTCTGCCACCACTATGTTACCTTAATTTTACAAATAACTTATCTATATTTGACAACACAACTTTATACGGATTCTTTAATGTGTAAAATAGTTATTTACAATAAAATAGATATATGATTTATAAAAAACAACTAGAAGATAGAAAGTGTTTGCTCTTTGCATATTTTGTTTTTTATTTGCTGTAAAAGTTTCTAATAAGAGCATCATGATAATTCTTTTACAATTGCCTTGAAGTTCCAAATTTTAAAAAAAATAATAAATAAGAGAGCAATCTCTTTGATTACTCTATCAACGCTAAATTTTAGCTAATCAGCGTATCTATTGGTGATCGCAGCTTCAGGTTTTTTTGACCTAAGTAATAATCACGATCAATTTTTTCAACCAATCAAGTCGTTCGGTAAACTCATCGAGGAAGGCGTTTGAGAACGGTCTTAGCCAATCAGCGTTAACTCTATAGAAAAAAAAATGGGTTGCCAACTCTAGATTTTTTTAACTCACTTTGATTAGTTTTTCGACACATAACTAATTAAAATTTTATTTCTGATCAATTTATTTAAGAGTTCGAGAACACATTAGCGATAGTATAAAAATATAACATGTACGTACGTGCGTACGTCTGTACAAATCATTGTTCAGTACTACCTTTTTTAAATTTGTCAATCATTTCTTTATCATCCACATGTACTTTAATAGCCAATCATATGTCTGCGATCTTGTTCTTTGTATATGCGTAGATGATTTTGTGTACTTTAGCTTACTTAATAGGATAAATGGTCTTTGCCTTTTTCTACTTTGGGTAATAAGTAGTACTTCACTGTTTCATTGTATGCAAATTCGTTATTATAGTTATATAAATAAATAGAATACTCTTCCTTTTTTTTTTTTTTTTTTTTTTTAAGAACAAACACATTCCAACTCTTTTTCATACATTCATCCCACTGAATTTCATAAATTCATATTCTCTCATTACCGTAATAATGGACATATTCGAGCTCTCGATAATGTTTATTTTCCTGTTTTCATCAGTAGTGGCAATCGAAAAACACAATGAACTAATAGATTCTAATGATTCTATTGATACAAATGAAGTTTTTGACAAGTTATAACTAATGTTAACTGAAAAAAGTTGTTGAAATGTGTATTATTGATCTTGATGATCAAAACTAATAGTTCATTTACATGATGGCATTAGATGGCGTTTACTAAATCAAAACCAACAATCATTTAACATTACATACTGCATATGCATTATACATATTTTATCAACTTGTATTTTATTTACATGTATTTATTTATCAATTTCATTTTATTTTTCATCAAACTTTGTAGAAGTTATATAGTTGCTAAATTATACATTTCGATTTACGTGACGCAATCTTTTGGGAATGTTTAGAGTGTTAATATATACGTACTATACATGTATATATAATTCTGTAATTGGGAATATTCAATTATAAATATTATAAATATATCCATTTTTTTAATTTGCATTTTCAAGAATCTTAATTTTTGTGATTGCTGAAGTAAAGGGAAATGGTGTGACAGGTTTACTTACTGCCTTTTACTCTCATGAATTCAACCGATGCCTATCTCTTGCAGAATCTCAATCTGAATCTTATCATTTAAAAGTTGATCACTCTAAAACATGAAATACGCTTGAATAAAAATTGTAAATAATGATATATAAAAAATTAACCCGAGTCATTATAAAGTTAAGATTGGCATAAAAGTAAATATGATAAATTTACAACTTGCTTAAACGGTTAAATTGAACATATAAAATCTTATTCAGATTAATATCTTATCTATTTTAAATGTATATTATGATTACGAAGATATGCTGCTTGAATAATCACAGTATTAACACATATAAAATTTTGTTATTTCAGTTTAAATTTAAGGATTTGATACATAAGGCTCCAGCCCACAAAACATCGTCGTTTATTAACTAGGAAAAAATTGATACCTTTTGACTTTTAATGAATTTTTTAATTCGCATGCTAAGCTGGACTTTTTGTTATATGTTATAGTAATATCACAACTCAACATGCATTTAAAAAATTTTCTTTGTATATAACAATCAAACTAGTATAAATATAATCAAGCAAAAAGAAGTAACCTTTGCCAGATAATCCGAATATATCTGACACGAATTATTCTTAAACGGATTGTCTGTTATCTGTATATGATCGGATTTTGAAGCAAGTATCCGAATTGACAGATTTCGGATCCAAAAATACCTGGGATGAAAAAAAAATCGATTTACGTACTGTACCGTTCCTGATAGGGATCCTAGAAAACCACTGCATAAAAGTATGGCATCCCATTATTATTGTCCAATCCGATTGTATGATCAATATGTAGCATAAAATTCAGAAAAATAACTTGCATGGTAATTAGCTTCGATCATTGAATAAAAGTTTTTACAGTACAAATACCTTTAATGTATTATTAAGGATCAATGTTTATGTAATGTCGAGATCAATGTTATGGATTAATCACAGGTCATTATAACTAAGCATTATTATGAGAAACCAGCATCGGGTTCTTTTAAGAATTCTATAGGAATGGTACCCCATCAGTAACAGTACTGATGATCCATCAGGAACAATATATATATATATATTGGAACCTTCTTGTAGAGGACACCCTATGGCGTGTTTTATAGAACAGTGTTTTTGCAGAGACATAATAAAATTTAGTCGCACAGTCTATATGTGTCGCTTCGCCTAATGCACCCTTGAGGTTGGTGGCGCATTAATCACCCAAAGTAATTTTCGCCATTAAAATACTCTAAATCATTAACCAAACAAATTCAAATATTATTAAAATTTATAATTTATTATTGTAATTCATAACGAAAATATCAAAGATATCTAAAAATTAATTCTGTTTGATTCGTGCTCTTTTTATTTTCGAAAAGTATCGTTTCTTTCGTTTCTTTCATTTCTTCATAATTTTATTCTATAATATTATTCGAATTGAAAGAACTATTTTACAGTCCAGAATAATGGTAGCCCATTAAAGTTCTTCCTTAAATACACGAAATAATAAGGAAATAATAAGGAAACAATATTGCCTTTAAAAGTTTGTATGTTGCATTCCAAGTCAATATAAAATATGCATAATTAATATTGTACAGAATATAAAAAAATCCTATAAATAATAGAAGCTTTTCCTATAGCCTACGCTAAGCACATATATTAACACGAAAAAAATAATAATAGTAGCGCTCTTACTACCTATCAAAAGAGATTTCCCTTTAAAAGCTAAATTTTATAAGCTTTGTTAACCATACTTACTTCTAGAGTTAATGTAGCAACATCCGTACATACTCTATTTACATATCGATAAAGTATTACATATTTCTGTTATATCTACTGTCACAGCCATACGTGACCACTAATGGTAAAGCTCCAAAATCGCCGTAATTATCATGTCTTCTCCTAGTATGCCGTTCGGACGCCTTGCCTTGGAGAGTAAGTGTTTTTATTTTTTCCTCATGTGCCCAGAAAAAATTTTGGTGGACAAAATCTCCGTCGACGAAGTTCTATAGTCTACAGTTCCAAGAGGTCTATAATAGTGGTTTTTAGAGGCAAACAAAGTGTTAACCTTCTCTCGGGGACTCCCCTATATATTCAACATGCAAGCCAGAAGCAAACTATACAAAGGAGGAAAAGGCAGGTGGCGCTCCTTGGTGTGATAAATTTTGGTGCGGATATGTTTTATTCTGTTGATGAAACTATCAAGACTCTTTTGGGACCCAGGGGTACATCAGTTTTTCCAGCTTTCAACACTTTCTCTCAAGGTTTTGAACTTCCTGCACTCACTTTTATCCTGTTATCGTTTTTACTAACTTTTTTTGAAAAAATGTGGGGATTTAGCTACCTTCCTTCAAACAATCGACATTGTTTACCACTTCCATTTTTAGAAGTTGTCATTGTGATATGGCATATTAGGGAAACAACAAACACGTGCAGAGTGTGTGGCGATTTCTATTATTAGATTTAATTCGTGAAAGGGTTTTCAGTTTGTTTTAGGTGCTTTCTTCAGTATCATGTAAGATATACATTATCCCGAAGTCACATATATAATATTTTTTTAACCTGGCACAGGTTATAATAGTGCTTTTGCCATTTTTGTTTCTTCTTTTTTTATCCTGTCTTTTTTTTTTTTCTTTCTTTTTTAGGGTTTTTGTGTAGTTTTTTTTTGTAGTATTTGTTTTGGTATTTCCCCTTTTGGTTTTAAACTTCACTTTTTTTTTCTTTAATCTTGAAGTTTTTTCATTGAGTAGTTAGGAGTTTTTCTTTTTACTCGGGAAGTTAGAAGGAGAAGATTTAGGGTTTAAAAAGAGGAGTCAATCTTGATGGCTGTAAATGCTGCTTAGTGATATATCGGACTTCTTCGTTTGCAAGAGAGTTTAGTATAGAGAGTAAATTTTACTATAGCAGATCGCATATAGGTAATTTGGACTTTTGTTGTATAAGACTTTCGTCGCAAAGAGCCGGGTGGATTAATACTTGTGATTTAGAAGTAACATGTTTAGCCCAGTGTTAAAGTTAGCTCACTCATGAGATAGATATGAAATAAATATATGAGAATTATACCTAATAAAATATTGGCAAGGTTGCCGAAGTTATAAAAAAAAATAATATATGTCAATATAATGTATCTTTGTATACTGAACAAGTTTACTTAGAGTATAAAGTTAGAATCAATTAGTAAAAATTTGATAATCATAGCATTTTTTAGTATTTTTATTAATAAAATTATATAAAATATTAAGATTCTCAAATTTTTACTAATTGATTATAAGTTTATGTTCTAATAAACTTGTTTAGCACACAGAAATACATTATTTAATTTTATATTTTCTAAAAATTTAAGAGAAGATATTTAATTTTTGATATTTTAATCAAAATATTTAAAATTAAACATCTTCTCTTAAATTTTTAGAAAATATAAAATTAAATATGCTAAAATAATGTATTTTTGTGTGCTGAACAAGGTTTATTAGAATATAAAGTTAGAATTAATTAGTAAAATTTTGAGAATCACAGCATTTTTAGTATTTTATTAATAAAATTATATAAAATGTTAAGATTCTCAAAAATTTTACTAAATGATTATAACTTTATGCTCTAATGAGCTTTGTTCAGTACACAAAGATACATTATTTTGGTATATTTAATTTTATATTTCATGAATATTTAAGAGAAGATGCTTAATTTCGGATATTTTAATCAAAATATCCAAAATTAAGCATCTTCTCTTAAATATTCATGAATTAAATATGCTATTATAATGTATTTTTATGTGATAAACAAGGTTTATTAGAGCATAAAATTAGAATCAATTAGTAAACTTTTGAGAATATTAACATTTTATATAATTTTATTAATAAAAATACTAAAAAATGCTATGATTCTCAAAATTTTACTAATTAATTCTAACTTTATGTTCTAAGTAAACTTGTTTAGCACATAAAAATACACTATAATAGTATATTTAATTTTATATTTCTTAAAAATTCAAGAAAAGAAAAGATGCATAATCTTGGAGCTTTGATTAAAAAATCAAAAATTAAGCACCTTCTTTTGAATTTTGAAAAATTATAGTAGTTTAAAAAAAAGTAGCTTATTCTTGAGTATAATTCTTCCAAAATGTAGGTATTTTGCTAAAAATAAAATATAACATGTATAAAATTAATGTAATTTGATGAAATAGTCAATTATAATCTATTTTAAAATTGATATTAATTTGCTAAAACTCAAATTTGGACCTCTACCCAAATTTTCTGCAATTTGCTAAAAAAAAAATATGACCTATATCAGAGATGTCCAGGGTTCTACCTATATGTTTTGCCTAATGATTGCTTACAAGTAGACTTACTCTTTAACCTTTAATTTTGTTTGCTTCTTTGGATAACCAGAAGCTAATATTGTCATGTTGGCTTGTTTCTATCTATTTTTCTTCTTTCTTACTTATATTTGTTTTTGCTATTCCTATTATATCCAAACTTTTTTTTCTACCTAACTCTGCAAGTGCAACTAATTTCTGCCTATCTAATTTAAGTCCATTAATATTATGAAAATCTATTTTCATTAAATTGAAATTGTTTTTTCTCAAAAAATCCTTACTTTGTTTTAATTCATTGTTATTGTGTAAGGCATCAGTAAGGTTATTTGCCTTACCTTTGTTCTTTAATTCGACTAGAGTAAATTTTAGAAGCGCTGAGCCAACAATAGCTCGATTGTTCTAAATTTTTCTTGCATATTAGCAAACAATTGTTCAAAGTTAGTTTCTATAATAAACTTCTTTTGTTTTCTCCAAGCTCCTCTTTATTAGACTCTGTTGCGTATATGTTTTCTGAAACCTGAATGAATCTTTGATTATCAACTCCATTATTTTCTAGAACTCTTAGAGGTTTTCTTGTAGTGATACATGATTTGGAGCTGATATGTTCTTGGGTGAAGTTATTACAGTTTTCTTTGTTACTATCAAAGGTAAGCCTATTTGATTTGCTAGAAACTCTTATAAACTTGGCTTTGTTGATTAAATTCTGTTTTTTCTGAGGCTTTATCTCATTTATTATTACTTTTCTTTTGTTAGGGTATACTGTTTTCTTTTTACTATAGTGGTATACATA